CCCATTAAAAAAAGTGCACAATTACTGCACCAGGTCTCAAAGAAACAAGGTTTTCTTTACTCCACAAGTGTCCACTGAGGTGGACAAAACATCTTTGAAGTATATGGGTGTACAGGTCTGGGGCAATGTTCCACCTGAAACTAAAAAAAGTTCTGTGCATGTTTTCAGTAAGAAACTGAAAAAATATTTCCTACTGAAATATTCTAACTTGTCCTAATATCTGTAGTTTAATTAATTAATATGTGTTGAAAACTGCATTATATAAATTACTACATTACTATAAATTTAACTGTTTCATATAAACACTGCACACTGAGGGTCATAGCCCTTTTTTCCAACTCATGTATGTATATAGGTAATAAAATTGCTGTCCTCTTTTCTTTCATTGGCATCAATTTGATGATTTCTATGTTCGACTTTAAAAGCCATTGTTATTGAAATTTCTATCTTTTGAATTATTGCTAAACATGTCATAATATGATTGGCTCATTGTTATTTTCATTTCTCCATGTAATTGAGTATAAAATCTTGCTCCCTTGATCCATATAGTACTGCCTAATATACTGTAATTACCTTTTTTATGTCATTGAAAGTTATTGTGGTATTACTGATGAACTGCATAGTTATTGCATATTTAATTGTGGATCATATATTAATATTCTAGTTCCAAGTATGCATAAATACTTATAAATGATAGTAGCCCATTTGTTAATTAATTTAATAATCTTTATATATTGTGAAAAAAGTGATTAACTGCAATAATAATTGCATATTTAATTGTTCATATTCAACTGTGGATCATATATTAACTACTATTCTATTTCAAAAGTATGTATTGATACTTAAGAATGTTGGCAGCCACTTTTAATTCAATAACCTTGTTATATCGTGAACTAATTAAGGTGTCAAACGAGAGTATCGGTCGGAGACCAAAGACTTATCGATCAAAATGCGGTTTCGATTCATGACTCTATAGTGACACCGTGTGTCCAAACACCAATTAATTAATAGCTCCCTAATTATACGACATAACTCTACCAAAATCAATAGCCATCTGGTCCGTGAAATGATGAACGCACATGCAAAATTGGATTGGGTGGAGATTATCGCTTGCATCTTGAGATATCGCTTGCATCTAACAGACAGACAAACAGACAAAGATCGATAAACAAGATCGACAAGTAATGATATTTTTTACATCATGCACTCGGTCCATTACTGAATCTGTGATAATATTATTTTTCGTCCTTGGTATTCATTTTTGATCCCGGTCTGTGTCCAATAACAAAAAATATGCTTTTCGTGAAAATTGCCGACTCGTTTCCTTTTCTCCTCGTATTTATTTTTTAAATATTTATATTTAATCTCATTTGTATACACCTATGATGAACTTATATATAGCACATACACAAGGGTCGGGAGCCTAGATGACTTTAATCGGTCTTGCACACCGACCCGCACAAAGCAATGATCAATTACTGTGGAATATTTTCGTTATTGTATTATGTTTATATTAGTGTTGATTTTGTTTTTGTGGCAATAAATTTCTCTCTCTCTCTCTCTCTCTATAATGACATCCCGTTCAGGTATTCACAAATGGAGGCCTACGGTATATCGTACATGTGCACGTTATTTTTACTAAAATACCATAACGCATCTGAAAAACAATATTTCCATGAATCCACCATTACTATGCGTTTTATTCACAAAAAACGTTGCAAGCCAGGCCTAGGCGCGTTAACGCTCAGAGCAAGAAATCGCAGGCGTCACCTCTTTTTGCATCGGCGAATGCAGAAGTCGCAACAGTTCAAAGGTTATGAATGTCCCTAATTGCATACACCATTATGACTTAACAATACGATGTGACCATTGAGGTGTATATAACCAAAGCCCATATATACCGATATAACATACCGGTATACTTGCTCGAACCCAACTTCGAGTTCGTTTCTCGTTCTCTGTTTGTCTCTTATACGGTATGTATTTAATTTTTGTTGCAGTTTTGAGCACGCTCTTCTGTGAAATATATGATATGGAATTGATACTGCGCCAAAATCAAGAAGAATTTGCTTGATGTTGGCTCAACACATACGGTATCTTTCAGTTGTAATCCTCGGGTCTAGTATAGTTTACTACCACAAGTTCTTCCAGTTGGCGTACGGGTATCAAAATGAATTTTGCATATGTTATTCCTAACCCCCACCTGACTATACCATCCAAAAATTACGTCAATACGACGTCACAAACACGTCATAGGGCTTGCCAAGGTATAATTACGATCGCCTGAAATGGCATCTGCGCCGCCGATAACGAACTCGCTAGGAGTCGCTAACGCCGGCAATCTCTCTCCTATAGTGATCATTATGACTGGAAAACGAGAGAAATAACTTGCTCGATTTCGGGCGATCATCTGCGCGTTTTGGACGATTATCCGCATACTTTGGTGGGGGTTAGGACTGGCATATGCAAAAATTGTTTGAGTCATGCCAACTAGAAGTGCATGTGGTACTAAACTATACCAGACCCTAATACTCCACACTCAGACACGCTGATGGTATAAGAGTGAGTTATGAAGGTGCTGTGATTCTGCAGATAGTCATAGTCAAGTTTATTTTTTCCCATTCAGTAAAAAATAACATACGAAATTAACAAAATACAAAACTGAAAACACATTTTTACTGGGGAAGGGAAGTCGCGGAGAACCAGGAATGGTTATCGAGCAGCGACACCCGAGGTTCAACATCTAACTTTTTTTTTTTTTAAAGAAGTTACGTTTTTAGAACACTTTTAATATGAATGACCAGGCTTTGGCAGTTGAACCACATCCAAGAGACATGAAAGTTATATCCTATCCTAAATCCTATGAGACTACCATGAATAGTACATGGCAACATCTCTAATCGAGCCCACCAGATAACTTATGGGGATTCCCCGATTGACAGGCACTGAAGTGTGTAAATTGATTGAGGTACCGGTATACTAGTATATATAGCATGCAGCGAATTGCCTTGTTATGCAGAATTACTAATCCTTTGACACGGCGGTGTGGCTCAACGGGCTAAGCTGCGTTAGGAATACGCTCGCCACTGCACCTCTAATTACTCTGCGTGGGTTCGCAGGTTCGAATCCCATTCGGCTCAATAAAACAAACACTCCATGTGTCTCACAAACGAGGGGCGTCTGGCACCACACCAGATGCTTCATATCTCGCCATGCTTGTCTCAATAATAATCTGAATTACGGTAATCGTGGCTGTCACATGGCCAAACTTGCCGTTTTTTGCTAAAAACTCTCGCACGCCACGGTAAAAAAATTTTTCCTTTGGTGAATTGGATTATTTTTTCGCAAGGAATTCAATTATGACGTTATTATATTGCGCTTTTTTGTAGTATTTTGTGCAACTTCATTATACTGTATTATTACCGATATTAAGGGACATCAATGTCCAGACGTCTCCCAAAAGAGGGGTTTCTCTGAAACGAGACAATGTCACCCGATCTATACAGTGTGCCGTACTGTATTAGTTCCTCTCCAACTTATAATGCCATATTTCAGATGAGAGTATATAAGACAATAATACAGTAATATACCATTTTTAATACATCGATACCGGTAACGAGGATTCTACATAATTTATACAATATTCCAAGTGATTGTGAAACTTGTTTACATGACATACAGACATAAGTGATCAATATGAGGTTCCCATGACAAGTTCTCATCTAGGATTATACCCAAATACTTAATATATTTTGTTCTTTCTATTTTTTATTGTCAATTTGGAGATGGATCCGCCAAGTAGACTACAGAAGTAATATGCCTGGAACCAAAAACCATGAATTTGATTTTATTTAATCAGCGTTATTGATGCAAACTCAGATATCAACCTACATACATAGGCTACATCAGGACATACAGGCAGAAAGGGGATGTGTCTGTTTATATGTATATACATTGGACTGTTGGAGCAGTGGCATTCGGGTGCATATATGACTCTTAGTAGAGTAGTACCGTATGTATATTAATTTCGAATTTTTCTTTTACATGCCTATATACTCCATAAACTAAAATAAATCTAATCTTTAAATGGTACTCTGCAAATCACAACATGGAAAACGATTCAACTGGACAATATAACTTGGAATATCAAATTGGATAATCAATGTGGGTAATAATTTTTCATCTACATATTGTGCATGTATAAAATTTTTTGAATTTTCTATGCAAATGTTCTATTTTTGTATTTCGGAATGCAAAGTAATTCATCATTTGGCATTAAAAAAAGAGCGGACTCGTCCAGAAGCTTACTCAATGCCTCAATTTATCATTTGCATTATGTCTACTTTTCAATATTAGCTCTGATACCAAGATACATGATCTTGTGACATTGGACCTAGGTAAAAGAACATATTACTGGGTTTCACCAGACTCGACTAATCAACTATTCAATTTTTATTCATAAAATGAATTGCTTTTATCATTGGAGTGTGAGATATTGCAGACTTGGTCAATATTCTGGATTGCGAATGCTTTCTACATTTAAAGTTACTCAAAGGAGATGCGGAACCTTAGGTCAAGTATTGATGAATACAAAAAGTAATGTTTCAAAGGTATACAAATTACAGTTATTCACTTTTCGCGGATTTAGGACAAAGAAAACTGAGAGTTTGAAAAAAAAATTAACCGAAAAAGTGACTCATTCAAACCAAAAAAGTCAAAAAGACGAAACAAAAACAAATTACAGCAATGCACATGACCCAGGTGTTCTGTTTTCTTTATTGAAATCCGGAATGTATACAGCAGGATTTGCACTTGTTGTGTTTGGAGGTTGTGCAATATGGCAACGAGAAAACTTCAAAAAAACCATGAAGATTTTTGGAATCAAGGGTTGAAGAAAAAGCCTTTAAAAAAACAGGGTGAAGCCAGGACAGAGTTTAATCAAATTTGGAGTCATCTTTCACCCGTGCACAAAGTGACTTATGGAATCATTGGTTTAAATTTTCTTGTATTCATTAGGCTGGAAAGTTTGCAATCCTCAAATAATGATCCGATGGTTTACTTTGTCTCTTGCAAATACTTCAAATCAGTTTGCCGCAATGATTTTATCAATGTTCAGTCATAAAAGTTTTATTCATTTTTATTTAAATATGTATGTCCTTTCAAGTTTTTGCATGGCTTGGAATCAACTCTCTAAATCTCGCTCCCAAAAATCTGGTGTTAATAGCCATGAAAGATACTTTGCATTTTATTTAACTGCTGGGATGTGCAGCAGCCTGTTATCGATTATGGTAAAGAACATTGGACGCATTCCACATCCCTCTCTTGGAGCTTCTGGGGCAATAATGGGTCTTATCGGTTACACTTGTGAAAAAATGCCAAATAATTTGCTCTCTATTGTCTTTTTGCCCAATTTTACATTTTCTGCTGATTCAGCAAAAAATTTTATTATAGGTTTTGATACAGTAGGACTATTGATTGGTGCGTTCTCTAAATGGAGGTATATGATATTTGATCATGCGGGCCATTTGGGAGGAATGTTGTTTGGTATATGGTATGCTAAATATGGTGAAGAAGCATTCGATAATTGGTGTAGAAAGGTGATGGAATACTGGGGCAAAAAATAGGAAATTAGAATAATTGTTCCACATTCTGTCATAAATTTCTTTCCGAATACCATGGCTTTAAAGGAAGCTGTACGGAAGCAGCCACTGATAGGTAAGAAGCTTCCATAGTTTGGAAGAACCGTAATCTTTTGTGTTTAGTTTTGCCTACCCAATTTATTACCTGTATTCACATTTGGTAACTTTTAACTGCTGGACTTGTGAAGCATTTGAGAGTTAATTTGGAAATAAATTGCTCCACAAAATCTGTTTTCAAACTGAGTGGTAACTTGATGTGCCAATTATCTGTATCACCGTTTCTGTTCTAGTGTGCTATGAAGGGATTTCTATTCAGTTGAGAAGTAGCTAGCTCTTTCATTTATTTGACTGCCGCTTGCAGAATAGCTATGATTCCCTGCAACTTGAAACAAGTACAACTTGCGATTGGTGTATGTATAAGGGTATTTCTTTGATAAAAGGTTATAACCGGTATATATCTATATGGATATATATGGCTCACCTAGATGCATAATAATTATAAATCAGGACTGCAAAATTTTTATGGCCTGGATGTAGGTTATGGAAATTATAAATTTCATTGTGTGATTGAAAAACATTACACAACATACAAAAAAAGTCATTCAATTGCAGCAGTGAAAAACTCAAGTGGTAGTGAGGCATCAAATATATAAAAGTAACATGATTCAAGACATAATTTGAGAATGCAGTGACAGAATGAAAGCAGTAAACAAGTTGCCGACAAATAACCTCTTAAATGTTTAGAACATGAGATAGGTATGTATTAAAAGTTGTTACTTATCGATCTGGATCGGTAAGTATGTTGATAGATATTTGTCTGAGAGACACTTTCGTATGTTACGCGATACCTCACGAAAGCGAGGTTGAATCTGCTCTAAATTTTGCATATGCATTCATCGTAACTCGGACCAGAAGCCTATTGATTTTGGGTGAATTATGTCGTTTAATTGGTGGTGGGACACGCGGTGTGTGTCCAGAGTTCTATCGCTGTGTGACCCTAACTAATAGTCCGGCAGAATAGGGCCTTAACATTGTTTTGGGACATAAAGTTTTTTTTTATTGTTTAGATATAATGTATATGACATATAAAATAATACCCAGGTGGGTGTGGAGGAGCAATTTTTTTTTAAGTGGATTTAAAGTATTCGGTCCAAGATGACGCACATCCTGAACCTCAACCCGGTAAACATACAATGTTCAGGATGTGCGCCATCTTGGTACGAATACTTCAGGAGCGCCTTTTTGTTAAAAACAATTATTTCATAACTACATGGTTTAGTTTTGCATACATAGTAACATTGAATCTCCTTACAGTGTCAGAAATTCAATTTTAGTACAATAAATAGTAGTTTATTTCACTAATACAAGCCAAGATCCATCGACAGCATCCAGGGGAGGTCGCTACGCTACCCGCGAGGGGATATGTATAGAAATATTTTTAGTAAATTAAGAAGCAGATGTTTGTTGAAGGACCCGGGTCGTTGCGCCGGACGAATGACGAATTCGTCCGGCGCTCTGCCCCCGACACCTCTAGTCCATTAAGAAGTTCAAATACCACGTAATAAACTGATCACCCCTAACCGGAGTCGAATTTTTCCAATTTTAAGGTCCGTGATCACTCAACCGTGACGAAAATTTTTTGACACAAACTAGACCTCAACTACCTTGTATGACCCAAATATGGCATCTCTACCCTTTACCGTTCTCGAAATATAGCGTAAAATCACTGGAGCGTGACTGAGGTACTGGAGAAAAGAAATTTCTTCTAAAATGTCTTCAAATAATTTTTCTAAACATGCCCATGCCTTTACTTTCTTAATAAGTCCCTTCAGAAGTCTGCAATAAGTCAAAATCACTAAAGCGTGACTGGGGAGTAGGAGAAAAAAAATTTCTTCAAAAAAAATGTTAAACCAATTTTTCCAACCATGCCTATCTATTTCATTTCTCGATAGCTTCAATTTTAGGTACGCAACCTTCTTACGCCACTGGAGGGCGATTGGGAGGGGGAAACACCGATTATCCGGTAAATAAAATTACAATTAGTTATATTCTTTGACAATTAGGCAAATCTTTACCCAAAATCCCATTCATATGCCTCGGAATTGCCTAAAAACAATAGAACCTAAGTGGGCGTGGCTTTGCACGAGTTTTCTCACCACAGAGGGCGTGGGGGCAGTGCCCCCACCCCCAATTATACTTGGAAAAATTCCCAATGCTCGGGCTAGCCACTTTCTATTGCGCTCTTCAAACTACATTTGCGTTGCCGCGCGCATTTCGTTTTCCGAGAGTTTAAGCTTAGGGACTTGGGAAATATTTTATTAGTTGAATTGGATTGGAATATTTGACCTGGTCTTTCACTCTGAACAAGGCCATGTAAAGCCGTCCACTGGTATCTAAAGATGTGTAACGTGTTTTCTTTTGGAAGAACCGCAACCTTTCAGTGCTGCATTGACTTTGGCAAAATTAATATACAGTATCCTTGTGGAGATAGAAGGTATGCGTATGCGAAACCGAGATGTGCACCTGTTATGCCAACATAGTTGAATCAAACGTTTTGAATACTAATACATCACACACATTTTCCTGCGTGCTTCGGTTGTACGTAGTAACGCGCAATTTTTGCGAACATGCATCAAATTCCACTTGATTATTGAGCTATAGGTTTTTGACGAGCTTTTGTGTATGATTTCATTCCATAGAATTTGTATGCTGTTCTAAAGAATACTAGTTTCAGCTTTTTCATTCTCTTAAACCGCGTGTTGAAAGTGAGTTTTGTAATATTGCGTGTTGGTTTCCAACATCCTTAAATCGGTGATGCCAGTAAATCTTTAATACAATAAGATCAGTACATCTGCAATAAAAACAGCAGTACCCACTCAAATGACAGCTGGGGGATGATACTCTTAGTATCTGCTCCATCGCGCGCTCTTACAGTCTTACCAGTTTACATGCGTGTCAATCGGTATCTAAGCTCAGCCAGAGACAAAAAGTTTCGGATTGCAGTTGGCGTGACGAAATGTTTTTAAATATATATTCAACAATAAGATTATTTGATTGCATACTACTGAAAGTTCCGCCTTATATGTCTTTTCCCCATTTTTACTGATATTCGATAATACGACTCTCATCTGACATAGTTCTTAAAGTGTGTAGATGGGTATAATCTTTTCCACGCTGTTCAGATGGGAATCGAGCAATATATATAAGAATTGCTAATATTGGTTTGCAATGCGATGAAATCCCATCTTGGCATTTCTGCCTCTCGCAATTGCTGCGTATACTTATCGGGGAAGTTCTGTGGCGTGGTTATCGAATGAAAAAAACATGGGAGTATTTTTTCTACTTCTCTACTACCATCAAACCTTGACATTTTGTGAAAACTTTTTTCCATGAAACCTTTTTTAAAACATCCCCAACAACCACAATTAATTCTGTTATTAAACTTCCGAAACAAACACATAAAATCATCAACAGATGCATATCACCAAGTAGATATTGCTGAATTGATCTTTATTTTACCATTTTTCATGTAATTCTTTTTGGTAAACCTGTTATCTATCGTAAATACAGCACATTTGACAATGCTGTAGTGTGACTATTTTGGCCTCACATTTTTGATATTTGTAGTAGTTAGAGCTCTTGGGGCTCTGTCAAACAAAGTACATACAAAATATTGGTTGTAAATTGCAAAACATGATCATGTTGTTGGAATAACTTGGCATTTTACCACCCGTATATCATTCATTAGAATATTAATAAAATCATAAAAAAAATCCGTTTTTGTGAAATTTTTGTTGTAGCTGAATTCCAGGGACAGCATGACAACAGGCAGGAGAAGCACGGTCGCCTCTTTTAGTTTATGACAGGGTTTCTTAAAAGGGGACCCCGTCATCCTTGGAGGCCGATTGGTTATCTGGGAGCACGAACAAACAGATGGAAATGCGAATATATAATACCAATGTATTTTAATAGAAGAGAAGCAAAAGTGTTAAGAGTCTTTGGTAGTTTGAAAAGCATTGGCATGGAACATAAGAATGAACTACATTCTTCCGCAGGGATATACTATAAAATGTAGCAATTTTCTCATTCTTATTCTCGGGATATTATCTTTCACTGCGTCGTCGTAATCAACCCGCTGCATAACAATTCTCGCTAACAAATAATTGACTGTTCTCCATTGAACCACTGGCGACTGCATTAGCAGGCTTGTATTGGTAATTGCAACGAAAGTGGTATTTTGAAATAGTACTCTTTATTTCGCGTATGTTTCGACAGATTCCATATACTGTATATGGGTCGCGACCCAAAGCTGGGCTCAACAAATACTTAAAAGTTATTGATTTTATTTCCTAGTAAATTTGGTGCTTGCGTAGTTTGTTCACCAAGATTACGCACAACCTAAACATAGTATTGTAACAGGTTATGGTTCAGGTTGTGCGTCATGATTATGCACATGTTTGACGAAAAACACTAATACAAATATCTCAATAAATACCAAAAAGTTATTGATTTTATTTCCTAATAAATTTGGTGCTTGCGTAGTTTGTGCACCAAGATTGCGCACAACCTGAACATATTATTGTAACAGGTTATGGTTCAGGTTGTGCGTCATTATGATGCACAGGTTTGACGAAAAACACTAATACAAATATCGAGCCGTAAAAAAAATTGCTCAAGGCTGCAAACTCCACACCCATGTAGAAATGATGGGCAATGACCCCAGGATGAATAATCACAAATAAAAAAAACTTTATGTCTGAAATCAAACTTGGGCCAAAAAGGTCCCCTTATCTGCCGGACTATGGGTGATATAAACCTGCGATCGTTAAACAGCTGAATAAAAAAAAAACGATGCTCAATAATTAGGACCAAACTTTCGAATGAACATTTTCTGAAAAATTAATTATCCGCAGATGTTTCTCGGATAACTCGGCTCGGCGGTATGATCAGGCGTATACGAAGTTAAGGTTAAAGTCATCCAACTTCACTTGATAAATCAACACCCAATAAGACCAAAATATCAAACAAAAAGATACACATTTCATTATAAAATTCCTGATGTAAGTATCGCTACTTGCACAGAACCTATTTTAACAAACCGACAGAACCACAATACAAATTATACTACAGAAACTTGCACTATTTTTGCGGTACATGTCATGATATTAAAATATGCGTATCGCAAATTTTCAACAAGGTGTACATTGCCAAAATAAATTAAAAAAATATACTGATAAAA